CCAATTGTACCAGTGATTGTTTTACTGTACTTCTCTGTTTAACTGTACTAAAGACATTCATTCTTCCGTTGATTGTGACCTTGCACGAATTCGGTTACGCTCAGTAACCATACTTGTAACCTGGCACGATCTCGGTATTCTTTTGATACCACGAGATCGCCAACAAATACATCTCAACTACAGCCATCAACTGTCTTCTGATACTTGGCTTACAGGGGATCTTATCGGTTAAGTGGCACGTAGTCTTTCTGAAGTGGTGATCATAGTCAACCGCGACTCGACGCCACATTACAGATCTTTGGGCGACGCCAAAAAGAATCCTTGAGAATATCTGCGTACATACTACAGCCAAATCAGTGTATGAACCAGTGTGAGGAATTATAATTAATATTTACAGTTGATAGTTAGGGTTAGGAATTAGATTTAGGGTTGTCATCACAAACTGACATAAGCTACAATGCCAAAACTTTATTTAGCCAAATAGATATGTTAAATTTGCGCCAAAAGTTAATACCTTTTATCGTGAATCCGATTGGTTCGTCCATAAATTATAGTCTCGCCAAAATCATTTTATGAAAAAATTTCCATGAATGAATAATTAGTGCATATATGACAGCCACTTTCATTACATAAACTGATTAGTGTGGAAGATAGGTATTTTTAAAAAAAACAATATCTCTGCTTTTACTTTCAATATGCAACCAGTTTTAAGAAACTTCTTGGATGAAAGAAATCGCGTTACATTTTCGTCTATCATTCCTCTCTTCTCCACTGAATTTATGTTAAACTACTTTCATAGGACTAGTATCCATTTCTGAATCATTTTAATGATTTATTGAAATAAAAAATAGAATTTAGTTCTGATGTGAACAGAGAAACAAGAAGCCTTGACAAACTACAGAAGCTGTTTTTTCGGAACCAGATAGGAAATGGGAATAAATCGTATCGTGTTCCAGTTGACTTGTCTTCTCTTATTCGCATACCTGTCAGCCAATCAGGTGATAGAATAGTTTTCGTCTCGCCACCCCAAGCAATTGGTCTCACTTCGAACTCACGCATACTAGCCTCAATGTTAAGCCACTCAGTCTATCGCATCAAGATCTTAATCTAAATTAGACAAGTTATCCTCTGTACAAAATTGGATAGACAGATCAAGGATGTAACAAGTTCGGTATTCATACGGAACGTTCTAAAAGGTTTAAACAATTTAGTTTCCTGTTATATGACACCGCATTTGAAGTGTCTACAAATCAATAAACAATGTTTTCTGTGTATACAGAAATAAATGACATACTAATAAGTTATTCAGGCAAGATAAAATACATTTTAACTTAAATCTGTATAGTTTTATTCACTATCTCTACCCCACTTCAATTTGTCCACATGTTATTTGTTACATATTTAAAATTTAAAAATAATTAAAACTTTAATATAATTTCATGACTAGGTATTTAAAATTAACTTGGCCAATTAAAAGTTACAAAGGTCATTCAAATATCAACTAAAAATTATTGATTAAATTTGATTGATGAACTACTTATATTTAATTTTTATATAATTTAACGATTATTGTATATAAAGAAAATAAGAACAATTTGAACTGACTTATTCATTTTGTACAGTAAATAGATTGGTAACTTCAGAGAACTGGTCAATTTAAAATTATAATCATCATTTATTGAGAACCAAGAGACTATTTGTAACTGTTTTCTTTAATTTTTTTCTTACTCTTCTGTAATAACTAAAATCGGTTTCATTCAATATTTCCAATTAGTGTTATACAGTTAGATTAATTGGTTAGAATTATCGAAATCCACTATATTAGTAATAAAAAACATTCGTAAAAGGAAATGTAGATTCATTCAGTCCCTCTTAGCTTCTATGTGGTTTTAATGTTTTAGATATTTTTATATCAAATCAGAAGATAATATTGAGTAGTACAACATAAACTACTTATGTATTTATAAGTTGTTCGTCCCTTAGTTAACTGTGTTTAAAGAGATTGTGAAGTAAGTGTTAGCTTGACCTTTCCTAGAAAATTCCAAACAACTATGATACATTTTAATAGTTGAGATCATCGAGTCAATTGAAGCTACACCACCATGGAAAATCTGCAAGCACTTTGACGGTCGTTTCGACCTAGCATGGGGCTCTTCACCAGAGCGCATTCATGATCCCGCCTAGCGAGATCCGAACACAGGACCTATAGGTCTCCCACAACTCACTGATGGCAATGGTGGACGGTGGCGAAATTTTGTGGATTAGACATTAACACCACTGGATTCAGGCTCAGTGGTTTAGAGGTTAAACGCGAGACTGATAGGTCATGGGTTTGAATTTCGTGAGATGTGATCGTGAATGCACACTTCTGAGGAGCCTTACAATAGGACGAAACGGTCGTCCAGTGCTTCCAGGTTTCCCATGGTGGTCAAGCTTCAATCTGACTCATGATTTCAACTATTGAAATTACTAAAATCTCCACAAAACCCCTTCTGATATTAAATAATCATTAAAATATTGATTGTAAAATGAGGGAAAAAAATAAAACATACACTGGAAAAAATCATTCTCCTTACCGCACAAATTCCGTAAAATAACTGGACTTATGGTACATAGTGGTCTATACGTTTAAATAAGAGGTTAGGCATGGATTATGCCTAAAATTCCACTTGATTTGAAGTATTAGTAGGGATTCTCATTTTTCTGCTGTTGATGTTGGGGAATACAGTTGATCAGTTTCTGTTGCCATACAAAAAACTTCCGTGAATGTCACAATATTGCCTTTCAGTCGAAATTTTTAGTATTTTTGTACTGCGCCTATTATCAGAACTAAAGACACACGTCCCTCCCCGTTTCGAACTCGTCTGCTGGATGTATTATTATTCATTTCAACACATAAATATTGGCACAAGCGGGCACCAAATATATATGCGCCACACTATATTTGTGTGTGGGGGGCTGTGATACTGCCCGGGTGCTCAGACCGAAGCAGGTGGTTTTCTTAGGGGGCCGCACCCCGAGCCTTTGATCTGAAGGTCTGACCCACAAGGCAGTGGAGCATCATGAGATGCAGTCCCATGGTAGCCGGTGACCAACGACTGGTTCATACGCCATTTGTTCCCGCAGGATACTGGAGCCCATGTGCACCATTGGTTTGGGATCCGGTTATAGCGCCGGACATTCGCTTTTCGTCCTCTCATTTTCGTAAACAACACCCCCGCCACGAGATGGCAGTAAGTAAGACTTCCCTGGCAAATTATCTATGTTTATACTGCGACTCGAACCCAGTACCTACTGCTTCAAACACCAATGCGTCTGTGTGAGCATCAAAACTGGGGCACAGGCATATCTAGTAGATGAGTCCCAAAGAAGAGAAAATTCATGTCTTGAATTCCACTACCAATAATAATTCGAACATAACAAAAAAGCCATGTAAAGTGCGTCAGAAGGCCAAATTAACACCATAACACTTTATCATCTCCTACGTTATGATGAGATAATGGTCTTGAAGGATTGAAACAAGACGTGATGAAAAAATTCAAATAAGCTCTAAACAGCGAATAGGATGAGTGAGAAACTTCAGCTACAAAAGGGCAATAAAGTGTGCACAAATAAAATATACACTCAACAAATAATATGAGCTTTCGTTGAATAATTCATGGGGGATTATTTCGATAGTGAGCTACGCAAACCTTTAAAAAATTTTTAGGTCACTAGTTCATGCGGATATTTTGCAAGCTCTAGCAGTAGTAACTACAACACACTAAGTAAATCAGAGATTAAGAACAAGAGAATCACACCAAACAACCATCACTCGTTAAGTACTATAGTTTAAATTCCATCCAGCTCTAACTTCCAAGGCAATCAGCTCTGTTCACTGAATACTGCAATTTAATAAGGTGAAAGCAGAAAATGTATTGCTCAGCAAATAATCTGAACTCTTATTCTGACGCTCACGTAGTCGAGTGACTTTCTATTTATCAGGATAAAAGTTTGAGTGCTTGCTTTATCACTACCCACTCCAGACAACATATCAAGTCAGGGTATGTGAACACTGGCAAAATCTATGTCATCGGAAGTTCATTACCTTACTGACTAACTTTAGTTTGATTTCACTTGTACGCCAAGCTAAAATCATTGTCACTTGGAGGCAATGCAACACATCTTTTTATAACGTAAAATGAGATACTTCTGTAAGCCATGTTGCAATCATAGAAGCTTATTCCATATGGCGGTCTTGATTTATAGTAACATCCGATAAGCTCGAAACCTATATAAATATCTCCAAGTACGTCTTCAATGTTGTAAGATGATTTTACATAGCTAGGATAGGTCACCTTGAATGTAACATAAATGAGTTAGTTTTAAACAACGTCAGAATTAGACAAGTGCATACGTGAGAAAGGCACACGGCAATACTGGTTGCAATTTTGACTTTTCTAGAAGTCAAACGAAAATCTTTCTCCGAACGACTAGAAAGTAATCATGACCTCGAAGGCAAACTGGCCACATAAATAAATCACCAAGGACACAGATACCGATCAGTTTACAGTCAATGATAGTCTTACTACTTTAGTTTTCAGCTCCTTTACTTTATAGACTACAACAAAAATGTATGACGGGGACCATGCTTGGCTATATTAAAAAGCTTATAAATACTAAAAAATTAGTGCGGATTATTTTTATTTTACAAGGTAGTTTACATAGGTGTTCCCGCATAATTTGATTCGGGCGTTCTCCGGAATGTCAGAAGAGCTATCAGTATTTAAATGCGCCATCACAAAGTGATTAATAAGATGTTGCGAATTTATAGTAAATTTAACCACAGTTACAAACTCAGACGATTAAGCATAACGATGGAACGAAGTAGCATTTTCGGTTTCTCAAACTTTACTTACAGCGTGCATCGAGTTTCAAATTTGGGCAATAGGTCTCAATACATGACATAATTGTATACAAGATGAACGACGAGTACACTTAATATTCAATAAGATAAGATTGATAACAATGACATACTTTATTGATCAAACTGGGTCAAACTGTTTACCTGACAAGAACATTACAGTTCGAAAAGTGATAATGCTGAACACAAGAATCATATTACAAAATAATGGACATTATGAGACAAAAAGAAAGACAAAGCCAACGACCGAATCTTGATTCTAGTATCTGACGGTTATTAAATCCCAAGTGATACAATACACTAGTAAATATGGAACTTGATTAATACGGTTTGTATAAGGATAATGGAATAAAAAAAAACAAAAATAGGATAACAACAAAGTAGGCACTTGTAGAAATCACAGGGGATATGTACACTTCGTATGTATGGAGATCTCATTGTTTCACCGTCTTGCGCCCCTTCCTTGAGGATCGAACCTCATGCCAATCGCCATCAGATTCGAAAACAGCCGACTTATAAGTCGGAATTTGTGGAACAGGTGGCAATTTTTTTGATGCCTTTAAAGGTACAGGATCGACACCATTTTCTGCACTAGCAAACTGATGCTTTCCACCATTTTCGCCTTTCGAAGTGATGACCTCTGAGATAATTGTTTTAGGTTCTTTAATAGTTTCCTTATATTTTGGGCGCTGATCTGAAATCTTCTTTCCTTTTTTAATAGTAACCCAATCATCGCTCTTTTCATCGTTTCCAGGATCATCCTACAGCATTATTTAACAACACAACACTATTACTTTTGCAAGATTTTGAAACATGGGTGACACTTCAACGGTTGTACTCACAGGAATACGTGATTTTTGAGTATTCACAATACTTGTGTTGCGTGGTGGGACCACAGGTTTTTTAATTTCTGCGTGATCACCATCCTGAAATTAAAGTCATATTATGAACTGAAAATACCGATGACGATGTTCTACCATCAGACGATTTAGTCTTGCTTTTCTTGATGCGTGTTTTAGACTTTTTCGTGTTGATTAAGACTGGGTCTTTCCCGAGGCTTCTTCGTAACAAGTAGAAAGACGTAGATGTCACCAGAAGAGCAGTTATAGCATATTTTATAAATGATATCTGAACATCCGTAAAATACGAATATAACTCGGCGACCACATTGTTCACACCGTCTAGCATTGTAAATGCTGCCATGTGACGCTAACCTCAAGTCACGCGCTGATTCAAATGGTTCGAATGGTTTTAGACGGAATAGAAGAAGCATTCGCTTAACGAGCTTCCGTGTCTTGTAGCAGTGGATCACTAATACCTCCAGGCGTGAGCCTAGGTATATTAACGATAAAAGAGGAAAACGAAATTAGTAAATCATAGTAAGATACTATCCTTAGTCCTTAAGTGAACGTTCAAATGGTTCAAATGGTTGTGGACGGAATAGAAGAAGCTTTCGCTTAACAGGCTTCCGTGTCTAGTAGCAGGGGATCACCAAATCCTCCAGGCAGGAACCTAGGTATGTTAACAATAAAACAGGAAAAGAAGTTAATAAATCATAGTGCGATACTATCCTTAGTCCTTAAGAATAGATCAAGTTGCCTCTTGAAGGACTCCTGAGAAGTCGCTTGGACTAGCTCGGCCGGCAGCGAATTCCAGCATTTGACAACTCTTAAGGAGTAGAAGTTGTGTCTACATTCCGTTTTGCTATGTTGTGTCTCCAGTTTCTTGGTGTTACCCCTTAGGTTAGTGTTCGAACTAAGCTTAAGTAGGTGTTTAAGAGGATGTCCAGAAGTGTTAAGAATACTATAAGCCATAAATAAATCACCTCTAAGACGCCTATACTCTAATGGGTAAAGGTCTAGTGAATGGAGGCGTTCTTCGTAAGGTTTAGATTTGAGTCCTCGAACTGATTTCGTGGCTCGCCGTTGGATACGCTCCAAAGTGACCTTATCCTTTTGGAGTGAGGGGGGAGTACTATGTTTCCGTACTCTAAATGGGGACGGATAAAACTATTGAAGATTGTGTGGAAAGTTCTTCCGTCAAACTGGCCAAAAATGCGCTTCAACGTTACCAGTGCAAGGTTTGCTCGGAAGGCATTTTTGTCACAGTTAGCGTAAGACTTTAAATCATGGGGCACCAGGACTCCTAAATCTTTTTCGACTTGGGATACTACTAGAGAGGAGTTTCCTAAGTTGTAACTGTAGTTTGCAACATGTCGCAGATGGACTACTTTACACTTTGAAGTGTTAAAGGTAAGTCCGTTATCGTCTGCCCAACTTTGAAGTCGAGTCAGATCCTCCTGAAGTGCCTGTATATCGTCTTGGTTGCGTATCTCTCTCCAAAGTTTCACGTCGTCGGCAAAAAGTAATAAGTCTGACGTTACCTGTTGAGGAAGATCATTTATGTAGATCAAGAAGAGAAGAGGCCCTAGTACTGAGCCCTGGGGGACCCCACTAGGACATTCCATAGCCTGAGATAAAGTGAAATTAACCCTAACCTTAAAGTGTCGATTTTTTAGGTATGAAGTAAGCCAATCGATTAGAGGTGGTTTGATACCTAGTCGTTTGAGCTTGTTGATAAGACACAAGTGGTTAACCTTATCAAAAGCTAAATGATATCAACCTTTCCCTTGCGATCGAGGATGCTTGTCCATCTGTCCACCGCAGTCAGCAGGTTGGTTATACAAGAGTAACCCTTCCTGAAACCATGCTGTTGGGGTGAGAAGAAATTTAAGGACAGTAGATAGTCATTTAAACCGTCGCATATCAGGGACTCCATGAGTTTTGAAGGTAATGACAGAAGAGCCACCGGCCGATAACTTGAAGGTTCATTGCGTCGACCACCTTTGAAAATTGGTGTGATGTGAGCCAACTTCCAATTTTCCGGTAGTTTGCCTCGGCTTAGCGAGTGTGAGAACATCACGCTAAGCGGCGTTGCCAAGATTGAGGCTGCTTCCCTCAGTATGGCGGAATGGACCATTTCCGGGCCAGAAGAAGTGTCTAGTCTTAAGTGCTGCAGTTTCGGAACACCAAGTCAGCGCTTAGGTTCACTTCGGAAAGTCCTGTGGAATTGCAAACGAAACTGTCATCAGTAAAGTTAATGTCGGTCGGTTGAAATGTCGGGAGTAATGTTCAGCCAGAAGGTTAACGGCGTCGCCATCGTTGTTGGTCGGGCCGTTAAGACCTACCAGTTGGGAAACTCCAGTTTTGGCTTGAAGATGAGAGGCTGCATAACGGAATAAGCTTTTAGGATTAGAGGCAAATTTGTCCATAAGCTTTGTCTGGTACTGAAGCCTATCTTCTCTTATAGCCTTCGTGCATATGTTCCTGATATGTTTATATTGCCTGTACGCTCCGTCGTTGTCAGTTCATTTGTATTCCACCCAACAGTGCCTTTTGCGGCTTAGCAGGCGAAGGGTACGGTTCTTGATTATTGTAGGTGGCTTGCAGCTTTTGGGAACCGTTTGAGGAACTGAATGGTTTGTAGCACGTAAGAGCGTGTGCAGTAAGAAGTCCCAATGACCGTCCACATCGAGTTGGGGGTGAACATCCCAAACCACCTGTTGTAGATAGTCATGTAGAGCTGGCACATTCAACCGTTTAAAATTCCAACGCAAGTTATTGATGGGGTATCTTAGCTTAGTTTTGATGACAAAACTGAAGGCTATGACGGCATGATCGCTCTTTCCCAGAGGAGCCAGGATTGAGAGGTTGTCAACTAGGAATTCTTCGTTTGTGAATACACAGTCTAAGCGCGATGGTGTCTGACTGTTTCTCCAACGAGTTGCCGACCTCACATTTTCGTATAAGCCCAAGTCATCGATGAGGTTGAGGAACCGAGCTTCAATTGAGTTGTCGCCTCCAGTGTACGTGTGTTCCGCGAAGTTGACTCTAGGGAGATTAGAGTCTCCTAGAATCAGGATGTGTGTGAAACCGAGACGGGTAGGGCGGGATAGTCCTTCCAGCATACGACTATCGTACTCGATGTCGGCAGTTGGCTTCCTGTAAATGACTCCGACTAGACACCTCGAAGTACTTGACAGTGTTACAGAGCACCATATAGATTCCTCAAGATTAATAAACTCCAGGTTACGAACTTGATGCATCTCCAAGCAAGAACGTATGTTAACAGCTACTCCGCCCCCATATCCTGATTTTTTGTCATTGCGGAACAAAGACATCCCAGGCAATGCTAACTCATGGTCCGAGAACTGAGAAGATATCCAGGTTTCAGATATTTCTAGGATTGCTAAGTTCACGTAGTTCATCCAGTTTGTTTGGTAGACTCGCGGCGTTTATATATAAGCAGTTTATGCTTTCAATTTGGAACGCGTGAGCTTCTTCCTGTTTGTCTGTATGAGCCTTACGTGAATGGACAGGTAGCCCACCTATATGAGCTTTGCCGAGGTGGTAGGCCCTATCCTTTACACGTTTTTGTATCGTCTATACAGTTCACAAGTGGAATGATCAGCTCCAACTTGCCTTTGTGTTTGGTCCCAGCTTCGTATGGCCTATCCGGGTGCATGTGGATTCCAGGTGGTAATCGACGTCTGTTGGCACGAAATGCTTCCAGAGTTGCAGCCGCCATATGTGAAGATGGGAAGGTTATCTTCATTAGACGGGGTCTAAAATCACCATCCTTCTTGGCTAGTCTCGTCACATGCTGAGTCAGTATGTTTTTGAGCCTCAAGGACTGTTTGATGAATTTCCATTCCCTGATGTCAGTTTTTGATCGAGTAGGGTCCGTATTTTCCGGTATACCTTGCACGATTATATTCCACCCTCGGAAAATCTGATCGCGAGTTTCTTCGGGTATGTTCCAGATGAGATTGCACTCAGAATACGGTATGTCAGGCAGTATTCTTACATTCCCATCTGACTTCAGTAAATGACTCGCTAGTAAGACATCCTCTACGTCGGTCGCATTCTTAAGTGTTACTCGAAGAAGCCTCGGGTGATTTTGATGCTTAGATTCCTTTCCCCGAGTGAGCCGTGTGACTGTCAAAATTTCGCTTAAAATACTCCTGGGAAGTCGTTTGGACTAGCTCAGTCGAAATCGAATTCCAGAATGACTTCTCTCAGGGAGTAGATGTTTTGTCCATAGTCCGTTCTGCGAGCTGTGATTCTAATTTATGGGGTGTTTCCTCCCAGGATTTTGTTGGGACTGAGCGTAAGTAGGTATACAAGGGGAGGCTCAGAAGTGTTCACAGTACTATAATTCAATAGGAGATAACCTTTAATACTCTTATTCATCAAAGGGTAAAGATTCAGTGATATGAGGTGCTTGTCAAAAAGCTTGAACTTTAGTCCATGGACTGATTTTGTTGCTTGCCGTTGGATACGTTCAAGAGTAATCTTAACCTTTTGCAGTGAGAGCTGAAACACTATATTCCCATGCTCTGAACAGGATGAAACGAAACGTTTGAAGGTTAGATGGAAAGTTCCACCGATGAACTGGCCAAAAATACGCCTCAACATCACCAGTAAAAGGTTTGCTCGAAGGATACTTTTATCTCAGCGTAAGACTTCAGATGATAGAGTACCAACACTCTTAGATATTTTTCAACTCGTGGCACTCTCGTAGGAAAGCTACGTAATTTGTATGCGTAATCTGAAACATGTCTCAGATGGACACTTTGAAGTTCTAGCTTATCATCTTCGTTGCAAACTTCTCTCCGAATTTTCACATCGTCAGCAAAAGGTAATAAACCAGACCAAACTTGTTGAGGGAGGTCATTTATATAAAATAGGTCCTAATAATGAACCTTGAAGGACCCCACTATGACATTCTGTAGCCTGGAAAAAGGTTTTGTTTACCATGACCCTGAATGGTCACTTATTTAAATATGAAAAAAGCCGATCAAATAAAATTGACTTCATAACTAATCGCCTGAGCATAGTGAAGATATATACATGATCGACCCTAACAAACGCTTTTGAGAAATCAAGATATATAACACCAACATTCCCCTGAATGACGGAATTAGCTTTTAGAATTGCAGACAACTTTGTCGATTAGCTTGATCTGATACTGGAGATTATCTTCTCTTATCGCCTTCGTGTATTAGTTCTTTGCTTGCTTGAAATGTCTATATGAGCCGTCATCACTAATTCATTTGTATTTTCTTACCAGTGATTCTGTGTCTTATCAATCGGAGACTGTGACCCTTTAGGGCTATACGTTGCCTACAATTCTTGAAGACTGTTTACGATATATACTGGTTTTTAGAACGTACGATCTTGTGAAGTGGAATGTATAAATGACGGTTTACGTTAAGTTGAGGATGGCCCCCCAGGTTGCTGTTTAAATTGCAACGCTCGTTGTCGTTAGCGTGTTTTTAGCTCAGTTTTGCCGATAAAATCAAGGGCTATGATGACATGATCTCTTCTATACAAAGGAGTTAGAACCGA